GGGGGGGGTATCGGGGTTATAAGTACCGAGTAATCACAATCGTAATAAATAGAATAAAGAGATAACCCAAGATCAAGTCCCTAAAACAATCCGAAGTCGGGCATTTCTGGGATATCCAAGAATAGAGAAGAATTGTTACTATTGGAGAAGAGAGATCAGGGAAGATTGACAGAGGCATGTAGAAGAGACTACTCCACATATCCTAGATTCCCTCGCCGCGAAGAAAAAAAAAAGAGAAACCACATGAAAAATGAAATTCGACCAATTTTCTTCATGTTTTTAGTCGCCGAGGGTGACGAAGATGGTACCCGTAGAGTAGCCAGTGCAGCCGACACCATCGAGATCCTCCATACCGGCCCTGTAGACCTCAATGTTGGAAGAGGGGTTAGCCTTGGACAACTTGGAGCAGGTGCCCTTGCCGGGAGCGTCGATGGCCATGCTGATCCAGTCGGAGAGGCCGAAGTTCTCGGCAACGATGATGCTGACGTCGGAACCGCTCTGGTTGTCGTTCTTGGCGCTGCCGGCGTCGAACTCGAGCCAGGTACCAGCGAACTGACCGATGCTGGTCTTGGGGACGGAACCAGCACCGCAGGCAACACCACCCTGGGAGTTGGAGTCGAAGGCGAGACACTTGGCACCGGCGGCGGAGACGGAGAAGTCGAGAGCAGAGTGCCAGAAACCATCGATGAGACCAGTGGGGCCGATCTTGTTGAAGGCGGAGCAAGCATAGGTGGTATCGCCACCAGTGCTGGTGAACTTGGCGGTGTAGTCGTAGAGGTCGAGGTCACCGCAGTCGATCTCCATGATGTTGCAGCCCCAGTTGCTGGCGGTACCCGTGTTACCCTTATAGGCGATGTCGTAAGCCGTGGCACGCTTCGAGGCGCCGGCGCAGAACTGCTTCTTCACTCCCGTGCCGGAGCTTGAGCCGGAGCTGGTGTCGGCCTTGACGGGGACCTCGGGCTCAGGGGTAGGGGTGGCAGGCGCGGGAGGCGGGGTGGGAGTGCTCTCGACGACCGGGGCGGCGGGGGGCGCGGGCTTGACGTTCTTGACGAACTTGGAGTCGCGGGCCTCGATGTTCTTGTCGTGGAAGCGGGCGTGGCGGTGGGCCGCGGGAGAAGGGTGGGCTGCGACGCTGCTGATGGCGGCGGCCGCGAGGAGAAGAGTAGAGGTGAGCTGCATTTTTGCTAATGTGTTTTTGAAGATGTTGTTTTATGTTTGTTCTTTTACGTTTCGAGCGAGATGTCTAAATCGCACAGCGGGAATTCGCGGAGGACTGGTCGAAGTTGGCTCGATGTTGTTGTCTTTGGATTGGTATCCTTTCAAAAGAATGGATTCGAGATTGTCGTCCCAAAAATATGTCAATGAGTGCTTAAAAGAGCGTATGGACCGTTTGGCACAGAGTAGCTTTTGAATGCCTTATCTAAAGGAATGACAGCGAGTCGGAGTGAGTGATTCTCGCGGAGAATAACAACGCAGTTGCTTATCGTGGGCCGTGATCGAAGGAGGGTGAAAGGAAGGAAATGAGGGTGTGACAGCAGACAGACGAGGTAAATAAGGAAAGGAGAGAGACGTGCGATGGACTGGTGATATTAAAGAGGGAAATTACACGAATTAAAGTACAACCTCGCTTGGATTGGGGGGATGGGCATGTCCCCTCAAGCACCTAAATCGCCGAGAGTGACTTGGGAAATAGGGAGAGACACAGAGAGGGAGATCAATGGGCTCGTCAGGTCAGGCACGGGCCACGACCGCCTGGCCAGGAGGAGAAAGCCAGGCGATGCGCTGGACACTACTAATTATTCGTAGCCCTTGCAACCGGGTACCTGAACCAGTCACACTGACCGCGAGTGTTCTTTCCTGGACCTGACTAGGCCGCATTAGGCATGGACCAGGATGCCGGGCATGGACGGGCATGGACAGACAAGATGGAAGTCATGTCTATCCACGCAATGTATCCTTGCATGGGAAATAAAGGGGAAGGATACAGCAGTCTTAGACCGGGGTACTTTAGGGTTCGGCGCACATCTGGCAGTCGGTAAGTACCGCCAGTACGAAGTACTTCGTAAATTAAGAAACGAAATGAGACTCGGGTTGTTGAGGCTGTTTCTGGGAAACAAGGATACAAAGAGTGTGTGGCTTCGCACTTTGTCCTTCACCGAACTGACTGCAACCCATCGACAACGCAACATACCGACTTTGGAATGGTCTCCTTCATCCCTGTACACTCTGATCAACAAGCCACCACTGCAAAGTAATACCTGCCAGGGCCACGAATGCGAAGGGAGAATTCGAGGTACCTGGAACGTGGAGACGATACAAAGAACAAGATGCGTGTTCTCAACTACGAAGTCTAAGTAGTGTGTGGACCACTCGAGAATAAGAAAGCAGACCGTCCGCTCCTGCATCAAAATCTTGATCAACTGACATGATATTACTTCGTCCTCCGTAAGCAACAGGCCGGCGCCAGAGACAGAGATAGATCAATTGATGCGTGCGATTTTATCCACATTGGCTTATTCTGCATCCCATCTGCACGCCGTCCCTGCCGATCAGCTGTCATTTTTACCCGGAGCAGTAAGAGGGAGAGCTTTTCTTGAGCCCGGGCTTCCTACTCGTCAATCTCGGGCGCTGTTCCTGGATTTCGTCCAAGAGGCGTTAAGATTTGATTGGACGACCAAACTTTGAAACACGATTCTTCGATGGTTCATTGGCCAGAGAGAAAAACTCGCGCCAGGGGCACGTCAAAGTCTGTCCAAGGCCCACTGAAGATGGGTCGAAGGATGGTCCGGGTTGGGTCTGTCACTTTCATTGTTTTCGACACCGTATTCTTAACCATAATTTCGTGTATCGCCCCAGAAAGGATATTACTGTGCACAGTGCAAGTACAACGACAGTCTTCGTAGAACTGCACTGCCCCTGATTTTAATGTGCTCCATTTCATCAGTCAACAAGAAATCAAGGTTGACTGAAATTGATTTGGTCCCAGGCATTCATCCCCCCGGCGGCCAGATACCTGGCCATCGCTGAATATTCTAAATTTATCCATCATCGAGACTCGATGTCCGCTCTGGATATTAAGTCTTCCTCTTCGCTTGCGGCTGATCGATTACCTTGCTTCTTCATTCGAAGTGAGGTCTCTTGTCTGTGTCCGAGTCTGCTCTCCGTGGCGCACGTGCCTGGCCTCTCTCAACCTGACCGGTCCTCACCTTTGATCCCTTGCCAACCCACGACACTCTCCATTGCCAACGCATCGGGTCGGCGATCTGCGCCCAACCACTCCGAGCAGTCTGCTGGATTTATCGGCCTGTCTAAGCAGCTGCTAGTACTTGGTAGTGCAGTTTAGCTTCATGGTAAGTGGTAGTATGCGTGAAATTCCTTTTCAATTATGGAGCAAGGACTCCTCTTTTCAGGTCGAAAAGGCTCCTCTGCCCCTCTTCGTTTCCCGTTCGGGAGTCTCCAGCCTTACGTGGAGTCGATCCTTTTTCTCTTTCCCTTCCCGATACCACCCTTCCCCCGACTTCGCACACGACAGACCACTGCGGATAGATTTCGAGATTCTTCCAACCCCCCCTTTTCCCTCGTCCCGCCTTACCACCTTCGAGGTTCCACCCGAGAAGCTACTAGCCAGTCGGCACTTCCTAGACCTGTCCCGAATGCCCTCTCCCCATGCCACGCGTTCCTTTATCCTTGCCTCGGTGACTTGCCCCTCCCCGAATGGTCCACTGT